TCATTGCATAGTATATACTGATTTCGAAGATGTATTTACGAAGACATTTTGAGCTGGCATCTGATCGCCAAAACTTGCATGCATCTTTATAAAATTGGTTTAAATGTCTATCTTTAATGCATGAGAGGGAAATGGCCGAATTCGACTGACATTAATTTTTTAATTTAATTACCCTTAGTGTTTGACGTAATTTACTTTATTCATGTGTTAGATAGTACCCTGAAGTGAGTAGAGTGCGCTCTGTAATTTTGCAATAAAAAAAAGAACTATGTAAATAATTTTCATTCATAAAAGTAACGTCAACTATACCTATCAGTAGAATCGGTCATTTCATGTACAACGACATAATATAAACGTACATGTTTAAAGTTGCTTCTTTCGAAAATCAAGCTTTGTACGAATGTGGAGGAATCAGCTTAAATGCATTTTGTACAATCAACGCTGTAGCATCCTGTACAGAGATAGGCTCCGATGAATGAAATCGCTTGCGAAAATAGCCGGTTCTCATGGCACGATGAAAACGAACCGTCGCGATTCAGCAGTTGGCTGCAGCGAGGGTGTATGTGATGTTCTATTAAGTATGTATCGACACTCGAATGGAATTGGAACGAGGAAAGGGCAGGGATCGAGTATATTCCGCGATGTTTGTATAATTTATCGGTTTTGAGGATTCAGGGGTATGTGTACTGGATATTGCAAAACTGATAATGGAGGAGCTTAGATAAGATTAATCTTATTCTATTTGTTTTGACAACTTTTGAGGTACATACTCGAATTTTATCAGTTTCGTGAGTCGATGCTAAGGAGCTAATTCGGTTTGATTAATTTGGGCTGGCTGATGATCAGTCTACAGATGTAAATACAGCCTTTTGTCCTCCACAGGCTTGGTTTTATTCTGTATCTTGTCATGAAGATTAATTTTGAATTTGGAAACCACAAAATTGCCAGTCGATGTGTTAAAGAGTTTAACTTTTTGCAACACGGAGCTTCAAAGAATTGTGTATTTGGGGAAATATGTTGTATTTTATGAATGTAGTACATTCATCAGAGAAAGAATTATGGAATCACCGTTTATTATGGTAGAGACAAGTGTGATAGTTACTTCTTAAAAATGTAATCGTAACGAATTGAAACGAAATGATTACATAAATTTTATTACCACATTGTAATCGCCAACTAGCTATTCGACTGCGTAAACGTTATGCAGTAACCCGAATAAAATTATTAATCGTTAACCATTCTTTTCATAACCGCTATGAATCGTGTGAATCGTGATCGTGCATTTTCCAGGGAATTTCCTTGGATTTCAGTCGAGTTGAAAATCACGCGAATAAAGAATCGAACTGCGTTTCCATCGGAAAGGTTAATTTCTTCGAGGAAAGGTCAAGCAGTTCGCGGAAACCCGCACGAAGCGATCGCGTTGGGCCAATAATTATTTCGTATCAATGGAAAACTTTCTCGATATTCAAGCTACATATTACGGTTCGATCAAGGGAGGAATTATTGCGAGCCGAATTCAGGGAAAATCGACATTTCTGAATAATGAGCGTTTTTATCGGGTATTGAGGTCGAAGAATCGATGCACGAGATTCCCCGAATCGAACTGTAAATATTACGGTGTTCTGATAATAATGCCGTATTGAATTATCCCTGGATTATCATTTCCATTAATCTCTCCCCGAATGGACGCTAGAGCTGTTGTTGCCGTTTTTATTGAATACGTTGAAATAACTGAATTTCTTCTAAATATTGTAAGATCTTTAGAATATTTATCTTCACGAATTTAACGTCTCGAAATGCTGATTTTAAATTTTAAGTAATTCACTCTGTAATAATTATCGTTGTTCAGAGTTAGTCATGCAATTAACACGAACTTTTCAGACCCGAATCGCCAAGGTGAACCGGCTTAATCACCTCGAAAAGTTCGAAATCGTTAGTTACGCTCTGTCAAGCAGATGATAGTTGACCGAGCAGTTTTACATTCCACGTTATCAGGTGTAATTTCATTCAAAATGTACGACGTAGAGACTTCGTAGGCATGTCATCGGATTAGTAAGAGTTCTTGCAAAAACTATTACGTAAACAGATTATTAGCGTACCTGGAAATTATCAGTCACGAATGTTGTCTCTGTCGTTCGAATCCAAGTGTTAAGCCTAAATTTCAAACAGCTGTAAAATGAACAATTTAAAAAAATTTCAAAAATCCTTCGAGATATGTATATATATCAGTAAAGATTATAACATATCCAAATTTGAACAAAATCCGTAAGGGTGCTCCAAAAAGTGTCTGATTTCGCGTGGAACGACCCGTCAGCATTCCAGGGCTTTTCTTATCCAGCCACCGGAAATGCCCAATTTACGACACCCTTAACTTAAGGGCCCTAAATGGTCGACCACTGTCCCTTCGTCAAGTCGACTACAGCTAAACGACCGTCAGAAAACATCTTGAGAAACGTTGAAAATCTCAAGTTTCTCACAGAACCGGTGTAGTTATCTTTTGAATTGATCAACCCTACGACTATCAATCTCACCGTTTCCATATATGTATCTACATATCGTGCCAACATCGAGATAAAATGGCTTCCCGCGATGAAAGGCTTCCACAGACGGTTCGCGGCACGATAACCACGCGACCGGGTATTAGGGTTAAGCCTCGCCCCGCGAAATCGCGCGATCCACGGCCGGCAAATTGCACGCAAAATAGCTCAACGAAATTCCTTCGATCCCTGAGTAAACACAATTTCGTTGATCCGTTTACGCGACGACGTGGCCGCTTTTAACCCGTCATGGCGGACGTCTGGTCTAAGGACACGTCGGACGGGTATACCGGTGGCTGAAGTGCGGCTAAAATTATGCTTAACGCGGGCTTAATGTTCCGACCACCTCTCACGGGAATTATGGAGCAGAAATAGTCTTACGAAATTGTTATTACTATGGCTCGGTTGAGAATCGGAGTGTATATAGGTCGTGAGCGTTCTCGGAAAATTGAATCCAGAACGATTGAATCGGATACGAAAATTTAGTTGAAAGCATAATTCGGTTATTCGGAAGTTAATGAAAGGTTAAGAATATTTATATATGCTATTAACGTAATTCATGAAGGAGAAAGGTGTCTAAAATGATCCCCTTAGGGCGTAATTTATATAAAAAATACAAATGCTCACTATTTAAATAAAAGTAAAGTAGTTTTTGTAAGTTAGTCTATCTATCTTATCATTGGCTTAAATAAATTTAGCTACCTGATCAATTATATTATTATTCATGTAACTATTAGTGACGTGCAGGGAGAACTATTGTAGAACACATTACGATATAGCACCACTAATAGCCACAGGGCAGCCAGGAATCATTTATTATCCCGAGGGATCGTTTTAGACACATTTCCCCTATTGTTTAACAACCACTGAAATTCTTATACCGAACAGACCGTGCTTGGTCCGAGCGATTCTAAACATCGGTAATACACTACATTCGCTTCGAACATTCCTATACAACATTCACCATTACCACAGTCGTAAATTATTACCCCACTCATAAATTGTTACCCAGCGCCCTCGTCATAATACCGTCGCAGTGTCGATCGAGCAGCCTACGGCTCAAAAATGGCCCCACTTTCCATTGCCCAAGGATCAGTAAAAGTCTTCAGATAGAAATGAATTGTGAAAAGGATCTGCAGTAAATTCCTTTGTAAATATCGGATACCAGGGAAAGCTTCTCACTTTCTTTGCCTGTACATAATCTCTCTTGGAGTTTATATACGAGACCCCGCAGAAAGATTCTTTTGTTAGAGAACGTTGTTTTAACACCGCAGAAATTCGACGAGACTCGAATCGATTACGTGACATAATCGCCACATGTATGTATCGCGAATGGGAACACAGTGACATTTTTTCACGGATCGTTCGGCCAACAGGCAAATACCACATCGCTTAGCAACCATCTTTGCGAGCGGCCTTCGCGGATACCAAGAGCTCGTGAAAGCGAACGCTTCGAGGATAACGATATCGAGATCAATCGTGTCTTGCTCGAGGTTTCTTTGCCACGTGTCTTTCTTTCTCTGTAGGCTGTCGTGAAAGACTCGATTCAACCGGGTCAAAAGGTTCGTCGATCCTCGGGGATTATGACGCCAGGGGTCGTAAAGGTCTCGTTTGGTCCGCTTATCGGTGCCCAGAGGTTAAGACTCGGTGCTACTCATAAAACGACTCCATATAAAGGCCGACGTGACTATTGTTTCTTGAAATTCCTCTTCCTCGTGACTGGAAATTTTACAGGGTAAAAGGAGACTGTTGTTACCGGTCTTAGAATTTCCGAAACGGTTTTATTAGGGTTGTGGCGTTTGAATCAGGGGGGGTTTGAAATGATTTTATGGCTGGAAGGTCCAACACGGTGGAATAATGAATTCCAGTCGATGCAGAAAGTACAGTGATACATGGCTCCTATCCTGACAATGTTTGGCCACCACTGTCATATAGCCTCGTTTTCGAGAAAATCAGGTCTGCACACATACCTACAGGAGATCGTGCCTCCAGCAATGAGTGGAAATTCTCCTGAAAATGTTCTCATTGTTCGCGAAACCGATCGCAGGAAACGCACCCGCGCACATTGGTCGATTGCAGTTCCACGTCTTATCGAGTCCTCGTGAAGTATCAGCAGGCTTAGCGTCGAACGGCCGTGGACTATCTGGCGGGAATTTATCGTCCCCGCGGAATTCATACGGGCGGGCGGTAAACGCCTACGAGGAAGCCCGCCCACGCGTAACTTTTCGGTCTAGGCGTTTTGCACGTCTCGGCCGACAGTGGACGAGGTTACACGGCACTTAAACGGGCGTCGAGATAAATCAGCAATTAACCATGATTCACGTTAATTGTCGCGGCTCGAACGTGGCCCGAGTTAATTAAGCCCGGCCGGTGATCAGATAGCTTGGGCCCTAGGGTCTTTGAATAATTTCCGGGCGAGTTCATCGGGACGGACAATAAGAGCCGTGGCTTCGAGTGGGTCTATTATGGAGCACTGTATGAAAAGGGTAAAAGGAAATTGAATTACCGGGAAACCCTTCTTTTTTTTTTGTCCCTTCTTGGTGCGGTCTTGGTGGTCATTCACTTCCTTGGTGGTGATTGTTGAATGCTTTCGTTGAGGAATCTGAAAATACGGAAATATGTTTTTAAGAGAATCGTGTTTTTTTTTTAGTAACAATATGTTAATTGTATACGCGTTGATTAACGACACGGATTACGTAAAATGCAATGAATGATTAATACATTGATTTATTCGTTATTTAAGACTTCGTTAACATAATTAAGAGACTTGCTGTTGAAGCTGCGTCGAATTTAATGCATGCCATTGCATACGTAACGTGGAATCGGAAAGGATTCGCTATTCGTAATTTCGTGTAACCTTCGCATTCACGGTGTCGGCCACCGGTGACCACCATAGCGCAATTAGAATTCATGATGTAGGTCACCAGTGACCACCACAGCGCGATTGAAATTCAGGGTATCGGCCATCGGCGGCTTCTACGGTGCCATCGGAATTCTCGGTGTCGGTCACCGGTAACCACCAGAGCGCGATTGAAATTCACGGTATCGGCCACCAGCGTCCGGCCCAGCGAAGTCAACGCGTTAACACGATAACCTTTCGCACGCCACGACGATAACTAAAAGTGGAACGTTATAGCGACTGCATCGTTAAGCGTAAACGAAGTCGGCTGCATGCGGTAAGTAGGTACTGCATGTTTCATGGACCTATAAAAACCTAGGACGATTTCAGCCTTGGGCGCAATAAGAAAATTTGTCGGTGGAAGGCGGATCTCGGTTTTCTGACGTAATCAATTTCCGAGTGGATTAAATGGAGAATATTGTCGTGAGGACCATAAGAATTTTAATGGAGGCGCAAAAGAAAGGGCGATTATTATTAGAGAATGTGATGAAATGAACATTTCACTTTGTTGAACACTCGATGCAATAGAGATGATTATGTTTAATCTATAAACGGAATGAAACGTGTGTTTGCTGCAGGAACAGATAAGGAATGCTAATGAAACAGTCGCGTTTAATAAGCGGACTATGGAAATTCTTATAAATTAGCGCTGATTGATTTCCGAATGAAAAAATTTGTTGAACTTCGCGCGGGTATTTTGTTAGTTCGCGATTTGTATGTATGAACATGTTATGTGCATGTTATTATGACTGATCGCACAGTCGATAATTCATTAAATTTTAGAAAATAAGTAACGTCTGAAGGGGATTCTTTCCTCCCAGGAAGAATATCGTTAATATTACTAACAAGAATTACGTAGTGATAATTGTCATATTTACTTACCTTAATGAATATTTTGGCATGCAGCAAGGATAGTAGCACTTTCGTTAACTGTACGTGTCCATAAATAGTTAATCTGTATGCAGATTAGTACGTCCGTAATCCTTCCATCGTATCCTCGTTCAGTTTCCCAGCTGTGCATTTAAATAAGTTAAGCGTTAAAGCGGTGAACTAAGATCGAGCGATAGTTTCGAGAGCGAAGCCAGTACTTATCCAACAAATCAGGCTTCATAATAATATTCTAAATATATTATTATCAGACTGCAGTGTATACAAGTGTTGGCCAACCATTTAGATTCATTTAAGAAAATCAGAGCTTCCATCATCAAACAAATACACTTCAGTACACAAAAATGACTATATCCATGAGGGTAGAGTTCAAAGATTAGAAATTAATCATTGCAAAAAGTGTTACTTATTAAGCAACATTACTAAAAATGAACAACTGATTCGAAGCATTAGACACGATTACCCAAAATTCAGTACCAGTAGAAAGCTTAATCAAATCAAGTATGATTTTCATTCTATTCAAAATCAATTTTAATCCTTAAACAAATAAAACAAGCTCTATTCGATTTTAATTTCCATAAACGAGTCCACCAAACTCCAGTATTCGCATGACCATCCGCCACGATTATAAGCCATGCAGAACTCAGCCCACAGACACATCCTCAAAACCATCCTAACCAAAATCAATCACCGTGACACACTAAACTAAAACGTAACAAATCGCAAGTTCCACGAACCATTCGAGATAATTGAAAAACAAGATAACCCGGCCTCGTTCTCACAGTCGCTCTACGTCTCGATTTGTCCGTATGAAAAACGTGTGCACATTAGGGTCCGTTTCCCACGAAATCCAAGGGACGTTCTCGATCTTCGACGGGATCGTTACGGAATCCCTCGATTTCCATGGAAAAGCCGCGCACGATACGCCGCTTCACTGTACGAGTAAGAGATGTCGCGAGACTGTATCATATCGCGTCTTGTGTTCGCAGGATGGTATTGGACCCCAAGGTCACCAGTCTGCACAGTGATTACGGAAGCTTCGATCGACCATTGGGCGCCGGTGAGGGCCACGAGAGGGACGTCGAGGCGGCGGTTGATGGAAGCAGCAACGGAATGGCACAGTCGAGCGACGTTTACCAGCGGCAGCCGTTATTACCTGGTGCACCGGCGAAAGGGAAGGACAAGTGGTCCGGGGTGGCATCCGGTTCGGACTATTACGTCGACGACGAGGATGAAAAGATCGACGGCCTCGGACGACATCCCGGGCTACCGAATGGCTCCGGAAACGGCGTCGTTAAGCTCGACATACCCGCCCCGCTACGCGAGGAGCCCCGTTTCCCTAAGGAGAAATGGAAAACCTTTCTTGGTGAGTGATTTTTTCTTCGGTCCGATCGATCGCGCCGGAAATAGGGGCGGCATTTCCATTTGTAACAACAGGTTTATTTCCATCAACGGAATCACATATTTTCATTAAAAAAACAACTTATTTTATTTAATACTCATTTTACGATCGCATCGAATTGACGTGTATCCGCAGAGACAGGTATACCACATAGAGAATTTTGAGATTAGAAGGTATTCGAAATGCGTCAAAACGACGCTTCCCGTAAAGATACTGTTAATATCATCAGAAACATCACTGAAACTCGTCAAATTTCTTATTTTACGATTATTGAAATTAGTGCTTTTGTCGGAATTTGAAGTTTAATATAATATGCAATAGTATATTTTGTTGTATTATATGTTATTGCAGTTTAATTTAGTATGGATTCATCATTGGTGGTTCTAGTGTTACGCGTAACAATGAGTAATTTGGAAGCGTTTGATTCCAATGAAGTCATACGATTAAAAGCATTAGTAAAATAAGATTCAACGAAAGCTTGTCCAAATACTTATTCTATGGAGCCAGTGAAGCCTTACATTGTATTTATAATTACAATCTCTTACACGAGTAGAAACTTGCCCATCTGTGAGATGTGTGGCACTTGGGAAAATTAGAAAGGTAACTGAACATGTTCGCTGCGGTAACAGCCTCCGCGTCGACTGCGGTCGCAGGTGTATTCGTTGGAAGTAGAATATGGCAAGAGAGGAGTCTTCGTTGGTAAAAAATGACTGGCGAAACTGCTTGACCGTGATGACAAAGCGTTAAAGTTGATACCGTGTCCAATCAAGAGAAGAGATTAGAAGCTTTTCGGTCTTTGAGTTTTTCGAATGTAGAATTTTAATTTCAAGACTCTTCCCCTATGTTACCGTCTAATTAATATACCGTGTGAGTATTATTCAATGAATGAACATACATTACCACAGAAGAATTTCTCTTTATGTAGTCGAGAGGAATCCGGTTGACTAAAGATACTACAGTTGTCTCACTATACTGCAGCCGAGCGTGTCAGTTTAGTTATCGTCAACCGTGAATACTACGATTACATATCTCTCGTTCTGATAACAATTTCGAAATTGAAGACACGTGCTGAGATTCTTCTATACATAATATATGGACATAATTTCAGGGACGAATGTTAGATTACATTACCGCAATATATTACCATGTTCAAAAGGTTTCAGGAATTTATTATAAACTCATTGTCGCCTTCAAAGTACAGTGATTCCTCGATGAATGCGACACGAGCAATGGCGTTATTCCCACCACTGGGAGGCCCCCCTCGGGAATTAACCAAAACTGAGTAATCAGAAGCTAATTAGAGGCTCGGCTTCGGGTAAAGAACAAATTTATGGGAGGCTGAATACCTTTCCGTTCATCGAGACATTCTGTAGTTCCTAGTGGACGCAATGCACCTACGCCAGCGTTTGATCCAGCTTTCAAAGCACTTCTGGAATTCGATTTTTGGTGTAGACATCAGCTAAAAATGGTCTCAAGGATAATTCTTTGGGAAACTCTTATTTTTTTCTTTACCTTCTTAATAATCGTTATTCTTTCACTACTTAATAATCGTTAACAGTGAATCAACTGGAATGATTTCTGTTGCAGCATTTTTATTTATGGTCGTGAATTTTATACTGACCACGGCGTCCCTTGCAATGGTGCATGAAAGAGTCCCGGACAGAAGCACGTACGGACCGCTGCCGGATGTGGTGTTGGACAACGTCGCCGCACAGGACTGGGCCCTTAACGTGTCGGAAGTTCTGATTATGATAATGTCCAACTCAGCCATGGTTTTTATTATTTTTCATAAGCATAGGTACGGGTTATCCGCAACTGCAATCAAACCTTGGAGTATGCGTTTAACTGCATTAGACGTGCCAATGAATGATCCTTTTCTTTTAATAAGGTTACGGAATAGTTTACCATTGAAATTTTGAATTTTGTTCGGTGAAGTTTGCGTTAGATTTTAATACAGTGACAGTGGATATCGTGCACTTAGTATACGTGCTGAACTTAGTAAACAGCAGAGAATTTTTCATTGGCATCTAATAACAGCAGTGTAGAAGTGTCACGTCACTGAATTCAAGTATAGAATTTTACAGACGTAGAATTGAAAATTTAAAGTCATATGATCAAATGACCCATTAATATGAAACATCCTTATAAGTAGAAAATAGTATTAGGTGTATTAGTAATTGTCAACTTCAGTAAACATCATTTCTAAATTTATATCCTTTCGAGTCATATTCACTTAATATTGTGGACTCGAAGAATACAAGTGATAGATTATTATAAAATGGTTAATTAATGCGAAGTAAAGTTCATCGATCCCCACTATCAGTCGTAAACAGAGTGAATCACAGAAGCGCTTATTCCAATATCGTAAACTGTCGTAGAAAGTTATTGTTATTCTTACCACTGTGTATCCTTTCGTTCCGTTTCAGATTTATCGTTGTTAGGCGGGTGTTTCTTTTGATGGGGCTGTTGTACATGATGAGGAGTATCACGATGTACGTGACGGTACTACCGGTAGCCAGTAAAACGTACTTCTGCAGCCCAAAAGCGAACAACACGAGCCCGCTTCTCGTCACGAAGAGGGTTCTGCAGCTCATCTCCGGCTTCGGCTTGTCCATAAACGGCAAGCACACTTACTGCGGGGATTACATTTACAGCGGTCACACGGTTGTGCTTGTACTTAGTTACCTGATTATCAAGGAGTGTACGTTAAATTTACCGATTGTAATACATTGTACATACATTGAAACATGAAACGGTGGAGGAAAACTAATTAGAAATTTAAAAAATGTAGATTCTCCTAGAAGATGTCAACCGATTCATTGGTTGGCGTGGATAGCTGTTCTCGTTGGGGTAGTAATGGTCCTGATGGCTCACGGACATTATACCGTGGACGTTCTCATAGCATACTACGTAACCACACGCTTATGGTATATCTATCATACCTTGGCTAATAATTCGCATCTTAAGGTAAGTGAACGCGTTGACTTGGAAAAATCCATTGCCCCGTAGAATTTATTTTTCTATGGTCAAAGATATTTCCTGCTATGATGAATCGGACAGTATTAGGTTGGTGCAAAAGATTCGTCGTATTTGCACAGTATTTGACAATAATAAGAATATGACTTTATTATGATTATTTCAACGTAAAAGAATAATAATTAGAGAATGTACAGAGCAAGAGAGAGGGACAATATATATAGTAGTAACATTGTTAAGTATTGGTTATGTGCTGTCTCGAAACCTGATCCTAATAAAAATAGGTAAATGAAATTAGTCAGATACAGGTGATTCTTTCATGAGAGACCGTCGTCACACACGTATACCGTCGAACTCTGAAATATGTATGATTCTTATTTTTTTTGTTGTGTATCTTACAAGATTTTTTACAGTATTCATTGCTGCAAGAGATGCATTCTGTGAGAGAATTTTATTTTTAGAATAAGAATGTCAAATCAAGTGACATAATATTTTGTATCGTTGTCAAGTGGACGAAATAATATAAGACCGACAAATATTTGGCACCGACCTAACGGAATCGCTGTATTAAAGCAATAATTCCCGTGTTTCCAGCAATACGAACCAAACAACTTTCTGGCCCGGCTCTGGTGGTTCCCTATTTTCAAATATTTCGAGAAAAATGTGGGCGGCACCGTGCCACGACAATACGACTGGCCTTTACCCTGGCCTCGACGATTCCTTGCCAAGCACCCCAACCGGGACAGTTAATGTCCGTCGTGATCGCGCGACACAGGCTGTCGAACAACAACGGAGTTACTTTTGTTGTATTTGTATATATATAAACATATATGTATACGTAAATAGGCTTACACTGTGGAGATAAAAGCTTTATTAGAAAAGTGGGTACAGAGAGATGCGACCGAGCTCTCGTCAAGCCTCCAATGCCCGAGGACTCGACCAGAAGTTTCTTCTGCAGTGTTCACTTTCTCAAGAGACTTTACGACACGAGCGAAACAGACGACGAAATGAAAGAAACAATTACGACCGAAGAAAAAGAAAAATCAACCGGTTCGAACGATGCTTGTGTACCAGTCATGTTCGTTATCGTCCAATCGCGAAACCTATTTTTCCTTGATTTTGATACGACTTATACATAATGTAAGGGATTAGATAACTCGAATAGTACCGACGTTAGTTCTCACCAGATGAATTCACCTTAGATGAAGGAGGTATCCGAGAGTTACTGGTCAGATTAGTGTATAAACAAAAAAGAAAAAACAAGAAGCAAACAAACGTAAACGCGTAGATATCTCTATTTTCAGATACTCCGACAACGTGAAGATACTTAGGATTAACCGCTGAATCGAGCGTGTATAAACACTCGCGCGAACTGTACTAATTGTTAAATATGTAGGATTCGAGACGCAAGATAGCGGATTCATTTTTGTAAACTTTCGAACAACGACACAATTGGAAAATCAGGCGTCGCTGCGATACGAACACCGCACCGCAACTTTCTTTCAGACCTGGACGTACACTGTCTGACCTCTAACAGAAAAATCACGTTGCAAGTGATATGACTATACATTTTGTAATATACAAAAAATATTTTTATTCGAAATTCAATTATAAAATAATTCTGAAATGTATGTGTATATATATAGATATGTATATCTTTTGCTCGAACATTGATTTTGCGCGGATCAGATAATTTTTTCTTTGAATAATCACTTTGAGACAATTCAATGTCGTCCAGGTCTGCTTCGTATGCCGCGAGATCTTCCTCTGGCTGCTATTTTTCAGCGCGTTATTAATCTCAATCAACTTCCAAACATCAAGACGATGTAGTTCTTTGTGATTACTTGGAAAAGAAATGAAAAGGTAAACAAGAAAACAGCGGCATGCCTTATTCCGATGAAAGTCAACCGAATGCGTATGAGATTGGTCAATTACGGTTCGTTTTCTCTCTAGTTTTGTATATCTCCGTGTGTAGACTCCCCTTCACCACCCTCGAAATTGGTGTGTTCCTTATCCACGCGGATTCGTCAGACGGATTGGCTCACGCGTAGTTTCTCGAGCGATCGCGCAATTTCGTGGGACCAAGCAGAACAGTCGAAAACGAAACATAGAAAAAAGTATAACTGTAGACATGTGATTGAAAGTAAAATCGGTTCTCGACGAACGGAACCCGTAGCGACAATAGACGCACCATGTATTGGATTCTTCAGAAAAACACGAACGACTTCGGACACTGCGTCCGATACACGACCGGTGGTCTCTGGTCTTTTAGATGATGGTTTTTTTAAAACGACTGTAATGTGTTCTATTGGAAAAAGGCTTACAGAGAATCTCTTCACCCGTGACGACGTGTCGCGCTACTTTTAACCGTTCTATTGTGATAAACAAGTTATATACGCGCACTGTGAAATTCGTGATTCCTCGGAATAAGGACATCTTTGCATTCTATATACACACCAGATGTTGTCACGCGTACACACGGAAGACGGAGACGCGAACCGGGCGAAGAAAAGTACCGCGGTTCGAGTACATACATTGATCCTGGCTTAAATAATGTCTGACTCTGCCAATTGTTCAAATACAAAATCGAAAAATCTAAGAGGAAATAGTTTACAGATGATGCAGGAGTAATGTTAGAGACCTCGACATCGTGATTAGTTGTCCCGTCCATAAGTATAATACGAGAACACCATTTGAACATGAAATACAGGGATTTTTCTTTGAAGGTATCTAAAAGCATACCATTTAACGAATAGTAAAAGTTCACTAAGCAATATTTAAACTAGTATCGAACAGTAAAAGTTACTTATGGACGGTAGCCAATTGCATGTCTGTCTAGTGATTTGAATGTGCGTGGTAATTGCTCCATCGCCAGGCACCATGTGTCTACGAGTTGGAATCGTTTCTTCGCACGGTTCACCTTTCCATCGATCTCCACCATCTCGCTATTTCGCAGCATCGATTCATTGCGATTCTTGCCCCGCTCCGATTGTCAGTGAGCGGCGTCCTCCTTCAGTTTCATCGCCATATATTCATCTTCGAGCTACTAGCACAAAATGAACACTTTGGAGGTCTTCGCGTCGGTAGCCGCGCGAAGATCGTTTCAGTGAATCTCAAATCGCGCTCCCCTCTGCCGTGGGGGGGAATATGGATAGAGAACGAGTCCCGGGACGATGAAAATCGGGAAGAAAAAAAAAATAAGAAGAGATGAACGTTTGAACAGAAACAATGGTTTACGAATTATTGCGAAGTCTTACGAATAGTTTAAGCGACGTTAACCAGCGATTTGTTGTCCTCTGCACGCACGGTTTATTATTGTTAACGCTCGTGCAGAATTCCTCCCCCCGTTATTCGTCGTGCGAGTTATCCACGTGTTCGATGGACGCCCGGTTTTCGGCATCCCTCTCGATGTTACTGTAAATAAAAAAAAAATTAAGAACGAGAAGAAACAGAAAAAAATATGGAAAACCGGAAAAAAAATAAACAAAACAAAAAAGAAGAAGGCAGGAGAACACAGACGAGATCGCCACAAGGAACGTGTCAGTGGTCCTCCCCTCCACCCCTGTTTCTCGCTTCCTCAACTTCATTCTCTTTCGAGGTCGAACGAATTAGACGGTCAAACGACGCGATAGAGAGAGAGAGATCAAGAAGACCTTCGAGGGTATACCGAAGGGCGACAGAGCGAGGCGAACGTGATGTCCGTTTGGCCCCATTATTGCATTGCAATTAAGTCTTTTTCCGTCTGTGATGATATTTAGATGAGAACGGTGTCGTCGTTCAACACGATTAATAAACGACCGTAAAATGATCCACTACGATTTGCTCGATCATGGCCACTGATATTTCCTCTTTAACCCTCTATGGATCTGTTTTGAAACGTTCAATCTGTATCGGAATTTGAATAGAATCTTATGATCAGTTCTTCAAACGGAGATAATTGACTGTTCAAGATCGGTCGACACTGTCTCTAGGATGTAGGGTTACCCCGCCGTGTACTTCTTGAATATTGTTTCACGATCGGGGGACAGCGACCTTGAACAGTTCATTCAATTTGATCGTGCTGTAGTGTCTCTAACGATATAACAATATTCATTGTGACACACTGGACTGTAGGGGGTTAACACTCATAGATGCGTGTATCGAATATATTTTACTAAGATTAAATGTGGTTCGTAGGCGGTTCTTAAGTGACGCAAGCATTCGCCGTTTTAATGCGGGTCGTTCGAGTATATTTCTCAATGTGCGTGTAATAGAGACCGTGTTAGCGCATACTATTACTAGACCTGTGGATGTTTATGCGATTTTACATTTCTGTGCCGGGCCGATCTACGAAAAAACTGACGTTATGCAGTTACCCCTCGTCTATCAACGGTTTCATTGCATTCGTACATTTTGTACCGTTTGAACTGTTATATTCGCTTGTAATACTTTACAAAAGTTCCATGTGACTTTTGTTTTAATCTACAATAATTCGTTTCTTTTTCTCAAAAGTCAACCGAAGGATAGAGTATGGATCATCAATGATCCACGGCGTCGTATTGTAGATCGAACTACCGGTAGAACTCCATTTATCCGAACACCGTAAGTTCACCCAAGAGTTCACATAACTACAACAATAGTTCTCCGTATAAATAACCATTTCTCTTACCAGAATTGGCGTCCACACAATGGCCATCTACAGTAGCATAGAAAATAGGAGGCCAACTTCTCGTACTTTGCCTGGAACTTCCGCCAAATATTTTCCAAGAGAGTTCAGGATGAACAGAGTTCTACCGTACGTGAAACTGTACAAAATGTTACCGTTGTCTCTGTACTTGTACTCATAGTTACCACATAGCCAACCGTCGTTTGTCCAACTACTATTTGAGGAAAGATCGTTAAGATTACGGCGCCCGAACGTGTTTGCAATATCGTGGAGCGTGTTGCTCCTCTCTGGTTAGGCGCATGTTAAAGCACTATTGTGTCTTCGTGAACGACATCCGAGACCGTCTGGAGGGGCGACCGTCAAGTATCTGCCAGCGGGATATTAATATTAAAAGAAAAACGCGGCGAACTCGGGCCAAAAAAAAATCCCAGAATTGAACGATGCACGCGTGTTGTGTACCGTGTACACGCGCGTGCACGTACACCGTGAGGAACATTTAATCACACGCACACGACGACGAAGAAGGGAGAATTACGCTTCTTCCGTGAACGGAAGGGCCTGGTAACGTGTAGCAAACGAAACAAAAAAAAAGAATATGTGTTAATCGGGAGACAAAAGGGTAGACGAGACTGGGGTAGTCGAATCGGAAATACCACCCGACCGGTTATGTTTACGGTGATCATTAAAGTGGAAACTAGACTGCGGACAATTATGCATTTATGGCGTACGAAACAGTGTCGAGATACAGTGTAACAGGAAATTGAGAAAAAAAAGTGAGTGGATGTTTTTAACGTATGTTTGAGTGAGTAGACTTTTTTTATTTCTTGAATATTAAGGTCTTCTTTCGTTCGTGTTATTTGTTCGATTAAGTTACAGGATTGTAATTTTGCATGAATATCCGCAGTCTGTGAAACAGCCAAGAACGTGTGAATTATCCAATTCAGTCGCTGTAATTGTAGTCGAAATTCTTGGACTGGTACTCTATGATTCTACTCAGACTTCTGACGTGGTCGAAAATTCTTGAAACTGTGACTTCCGGTGGTCATCAATATCGACTCGTGAGGACTGAAAATTTCGGTGGACTATGTAATCCTAGTTATTCCGATTTCGACACCCTTGTAGGAGACGTCATTGTAATTAAAAAGTGACGGGAGAGAGAAAGAAAACGAAGATGCCGGTAGCACATGCACGCACGTGCGCGCCCGATCGACATACTGTGTATGTGTGTTTATATGTATATACATATACATATTCTATATTTTTACGTGTAGATATTTTTTGGTAACTTGTTACAGTAATCCTATTAGACCAGTTAAGTATATACATATACATATAAATATAAATATATGTTGTAAATACAAGAATAGCTGCAGAGCGAGAGAGAGAGAGTGTGAGTGATCGAGAGAGAGAGAGAGAGAGAGAGAGAGAGAGAGAGAGAGAGAGAGAGGAGAGAGGAGAGAGCTTTTCGTCATCACGTGGATCCTCGTCAAACTGAATCAAATAGAAATTGTGGAGAACGATCTGTTCTATGGGTCTAACGAGATGCATATATATATACAGACTGTTAATAAAAATGTGGGGCATGTTTTCACAGGGTGGATTCAGTCAAGAAGAAGTGACATTTTATTATAAAAATTGGAATTTCTACGTTTAATCAATGAAAACTGGTAAAGTCCTTTTTTTTGTATCTTTTATTCGTTATTCGAAACTCTTTATCTAGATAATAATGAATTTGTCCATCTCTAATATTAATTGGGAATTGGCTGTTCAAGTAGTATGATTCAAGAATTAATAATTCGGAAAGGAAACATCGAACGGAATTTTGTCATTCTTGATTTGCATCTATTATTATATTATTATTTTATTTTTGTTTGCTATGTAGAATCCACTCTGTGAAAATGTGATCCATCTTTTTCTGAACACCATGTATATATATATATATAATAATCAGGTTTGTTCGATGATTCTCGCGGTTAACTGTTTCCTTACGCGCCTGTACGATGCAATTCCTCTGCGTCGACGAACTGGCTGCCACTTGCGTGCAACTTGGTTTCCATTGTCTCTTTTTCCGTAATAATCCTGTACATAGAGCCGAGTCTTCGCGATCAGTTCACCGAGACACGGGTTCATCTGTGTCGGTACATCTGAACCTCCCATGTACACAGAACGAACGAAAGCAAGTTGTATTTGACCCTTTTACTTTATACTTATATTTATAATATTTATTACGTTTTTTCGTACGTTGATGTAATAAAGTTTTAGGTGGACATACTTTGCAACCAGGCCGATTTTACATCTCTTGACCCGACGGCGAACATGACCCCGACTCGAAGAAACAGGAATTGAAATGTGTAGATTTTTTCTTTTTTTCGTATTAACAGTTCGTTCATCGAGACGTTGAGTTTTTAGATTGGTTCGAAGAAAGTCCATGTTCGTTTTAAACTTTTTACTATACTGGGTTTTGGATAATCATGTCTGTTCAAAAGATATATACATGCATAGTATGAAATATATATTTGTCACAACAGAAGTACAATTCACTTTCTTACATTTACTTGACAATACGTGCAGATTAATGTGCACAGGCTATGAATTTAATTACAATTATGCATTATAGCGGGTGTATACATCTAGTTTCTAGCTCCAGTGTTTTAATTAAAGAAATTTCTAATTAATGCTAGTTTTTGATAAATTAATTTATAAAGAAATGTGAATTTGTGCAAGCGTTCACAGACCATAAGAGTGAATTGTACCAATTCGTGACGTCGATCTCTTGATATGCAACAAACGAATATACTCGCGTTTTGTAAAAGTCGTGGATAGTGTTTTACCAACGAGTCGAGTATTGGCTCTGTAATTTTCCGTTGAAAAAGTACAGGAAGATAGTGTGCTCGAGATCAGTTATTTAGCGTCTTTTACCGACAAAAGGGTTTCTTAGAAAGTTCTCGTCTACTATGCGCTTAAATATTTTTCTATGATGTGTATAATGTGTGTCTAATTATAATGTTCGCGGCGGTTCGCCAGGTAAGTCGGATACTATATAATTTTATACTAAGTAACCACGAATGATACTATTGTTCTGTTATTGGGAATACGAAGAAGTGTTCGCGGTATGTCAATGATTGACGCTTGTAATAAAATATAAGAAAATATAAATTAGTGCGTGAAAGTAGAGAAACGTAAAAGTTAAAATACAGTAATGAAACTTCAGCTTAATTACTATTTGATGTTAATTTTTTGTTATCATTTCTACTTGTATTGAAAGGCTTTTAAAATTCATGAATAATTTTCATGTTCGAAAGTTGAATTGAGATTTGACGTTACGATACGATCAATGTATCGATATTAATTTCGACTGTCATTCCATCTGCAATTGACATCTCTCGACAAAGTCAGTTTCCAGACATGAACACGAAAATTTACAAGTGAAAGATCTCCATATATCAGAAATTCTCAAAATACCAAAAACAATGCCCCAAAATTCGTAGTAAAGTCCGTGATCCATAAAAAGTAATCAGGCAAGTATTCATATTTTACTACTGCCTAGTAAGTTAACTTCGTTAAGAGCTGGAGAAAAATTTAATTACTTCGTGTAGAAAAAGAGAATCGTTTTTCGTAATGCAGAAGTGGTTTTTTTTATTCAGAAACATCAGTTTGACATTAAACATTATTCCATTTCGTTCCAAAGGAAGAAAAACTGTTGCGATAACTCAATATATAACACAATGGTACAGATATCGTATAGTTACCTTTTAATTCAGAAAACTTAACCTCATTATTAATCAAAATTGCAACATTGGCATAATTCAGCCCTCCATTCTATGCCCACTTAACACGTACATATACCGTGTCGATTCTGATAAATTAACAAAAATATCTCACGTGCACAAGAACACGATTAAAACAAATCTATCTTACAATGACAACCGAAGATGAAAGATGGCTGCAGCTACCGGAAAGAAGGTGGACGTTAAAAATGGCCAAAAGGACCAAAGCGAAAACCAAGGAACAGCCGGCGAGGGTGACGCTCCCACAAAAAAACCTGTTGCTGCTCGACCTGTCGGCAAAAGATGGCACAAATTCCGCGCTCTGACACCAAATACAGCGATCCTCCGTGGCTCGTACGCGATGACTGATCCTCATTTTAAATATCGAAGTCGTGGTCGCCAAGCCGCCCCAGCATCAGTGGTGGCCATTGTTTACGGTCGTCTCTTCGAGCCCAAAGAATGGACCAAAGAGTACGTGGACCAAGTATTGGAGAACGGCGACAAAGTGTATCGTACGAGCGCAATGAAGAACCACGTGAAAGACGACGAATACATGAAGGCCAGATTGATACATCCAGAATTCTACATATCGAATTATAAGATCTTGGTCTGTGTCGAGGAGACTGGTATTTATGGTAACCTCTTCAGCGAGACGGTGGGCTGTCCAGATTTCGCTGACGGTCTGAGGAAGTTCTTCCAAAGCAGCGACTCCGGAATAATAACCGCACAGGGGACGTCGATGGCAATGTGGCGACATCCGGACGTTGGCTTCGTCTACTTCGACCCTGCACCCTGTGACGAAGATGGCGTCCATAATCCTGCGGGTGTGGCCTGCGTCATGAGGTTCAAGTGTATGAACGACCTGAGGGACCATTTTTTAAAGAGTATGGACCAACGATACGATTCTCGGTACTGCATCGACAAAGTCACCGTTCTTCGAGTCAGCGAGGTCGGTCGAGGGTACGTCGATCGTAATCCAAGTAGCAGTCGGCTGGCAGTCGACAAAAGCGTTCTACGGGCCATCAATCCTGTGGACATCGACGAGAACAAAATGGACTGCACGAAACCGGTTCCCAAAGGGGACAAGGTGAAGACCACCACCACCGCGAAGATCCACCGGGAACCGTTGTCGATCACCATTTCGAACTACAGTATCGACAAGAAATTCGCCACCGATCCTCTGGTGGATCAGAACCAATTCGACACCGGTTACAGTTACGAGAACATGCACGTGAACGTACCGTCGACGTTCAGAGAGCTGCCCGGCTACATGGCGCTCCTCCACGGGCTGACACACGAGGGCAGCGAGGTGTACAAAGGCAAGGGGGCGCAGAACGTGGCGAACTGCGTGATGGCAATCGCGATGAAGAAGGTTCATCCGGTGAAAACGTGGCTGAGACCGAAACTCGACGAGATATTGTCCCTCGGCGATACTCTGTACGCAGATGTGAAGTCCGAGAAGCCGATGATGAAGTCGATGACCGCGTCCGATCTGTTCGACGTGAAGATCCAGGTGGAGGACCGAAAGTTGGTGATCGACGTGGATCTGATTACGGTCACAGGTACCGTCAGCTCGAAGATCCCCACGGTGCTGAACCTGAAACAGGCTCTGGAGGAGTTCTTTCTGGTGAACACGGAAGGCGTTATCGAGTCGTCCTCGATGTCCGTGGCCATCTGGAGCCAGGACGATTGTTACTACATGTTCGATCCCCGTCAATGTGACCTGAACGGTCTACGAATTCGCGAAGAGAAGGGTAAAGGTAAAAACGAGGAAGAGAAAAAGAAAGGGAACTGCTGCGTGATGAGATTCCCGAAGACAGAGCCTCTCGCGACACTGTTTTGGAAGGACCTCGAGCAGTCCAAGAAGAACGATCGATTCACTATCAGACACATTACCATCTTGGATGACGTTCCTGGGACCAGGCCATGGTACGATTTCCAGCCGGGAACAGCCGGGGAGACTTGGGTTCTCCAGGGGACCATTTCGAACGAGGAAGAAGAATTCGAGGATGAAAGTCGAGGGAATCAGGGATTGGCTATGCCAGTGGTAGCTTTGATCGCTGCGAAAGAGACGCAACCCACGAAGTGGACAAGCGAGACGATCGATACGGTGATTCACGAAGGAGACGCTTACTATAACTGGTGTAATCCGGCGACGGATATCGACGAGGAGGAGCAGAAGTATTTCTTCGTGCCAAATCTCAAGAAGAATCTGTACTATAAGAACAGGAAGGTGAAGATCGATGTAGAAGAAGGGACGGTCATCGGGAAATTATCAGCGGCTGATAACAGCGATATTCTAAACATGGAGAAAGCCTTGGCGAACTTCTTTACGGACCATCAGTACGGTATCGTCGATGTGAAGAACATAAGCGTGGCTGTGTGGAAGATGGAAGAGGACGTGAAAGAAAAAGAAGAAATAGTGCAGCAAACCGTCTACTACTGTTTCGATCCTAATCCAAGAAACAACCGAGGTCTGTCAGAGTTGGACGAGGAAGAGTCACTCGGCACGGCCTGCGTGATCAAGACCCTGAGCATTCCTGTTCTGGCTAAGTTGATCCAGGCAAACGCGGAGAAAGAGGAGGAGGAGATCACCGATGAATTTGCTATACACGATATGAAGAGCATCCAGATCGGTAACGAGATGACTGAAGAGGAGATCGAGGCGGACAAGCTGATCCCCGTGAAGCCAGATCTTCACAATTATATAAGTACCGGTGAAAATGGCGCCATTCTGATGGGAAGTTTCAATCAGGCCAACGAAGTGATGTTCAAGCGTCAAACCAGGGATAAACAGCAAGCAGCCAGCGCGTTAGCGACTCTGGCCATGACGAAATTGTACAATCCTCATCTCTGGTACAGAGAAGTGGTCGATGATATCCTGAAAATTGGCGACAAGATCGCCCAGGAGAATTTAGAGAATCTTCCAGAGGATACAATGGAAGAGGAGGAGACACCTAGGAACTACCTTCTTCCCGATGAAATTACCGAAGAGTTCACCGTCGGGGTGAATAAAATGTACGTCGAACTGGAAGCAGAAAATGCCACTGGTAGGATGGGGGAGTTGGAGGGCGTGTTGGAGAACTTCTTTGAGACGAATGTGATGGGTATATTCAGGCAGGAGAATATAATAATGCCCATATGGAGAGAAGCGGACGTGTACTTTACTATGGATCCTAAAGGAAGGGACTCTAGAGGCGAACCCCGTGAAAAGGATGGCGCAGCCGTTGTAATGTGGTTCACAGACGTTCCTTCATTGATAGCGGCGATCCAACAGGTCGCCACTGGTGATGATTTCGTCATAGATTCCGTTACCCTGAGTAACGCCTACGAAACCAGAGTAGCCGAAGAAGAACGGCCGACCAAGCCAACCTCTGGAGAGGATCCTTGGTACCACTTCCCCAAGATGACCGAAGGTGTCTGGCACATCAGCGGCACGGTTAAGATGGACGACAACCGGTTCCAAGAGGACAATCGAAACAAACAGACCGCAGCTATAGCAGTGATGGCCATCGTCTTCGCAAAAGTCTACGAGCCTCGATACTGGACACAAGCAGTTCTCGACGAGGTAATCGTTACAGGTGACAAGCTACACTCGAAGTGCGTTGAAAGGTTAGGTGAAGGTGCGATACCCAGGATTAACGAAATCATGACCGAATTCTTCCTCTCAACCCGCCGTATCAATCTAACGATTAAAGACTGCGTCGAAGCTGGTAGCCTGACAGCCAAACCGCCCAAGGTCCAAGGTCTTAAGGACGGAATAGATAAGTTCTTTTCCAGATACAGTTCCGGCGCACTGACCGTGAGCGGAAACAGGAACATCTCGATATGGAAGTTCGATAATTTTTATTACACTCTGATACCCGATTGGGTGGGCCCTACGGGGGATGTGTCGTCGCTTGCTCCTAAGGTCTTGAGGGTGGCCAATATGGAGATCTTGGTGGGATATTTGATAGACTTCCTGGGAACTGAAAGCGACTACGAGATGATCGTCATAAAGGTAGTAAATTGGAACAAATTTCCTCCGTGGAAATTCGATCCCAGCGCGGCTGTTCGCCCTTCGAATCTACCGCCTTTGAATGCGTACAGAAGAGTCCAAGGTGAGGCCAGAGCTATCCTCCGTGGCAGCTACCATCAGGGAGACGAGATATTCCCCGAGTCATTCAGAAACAAGCAGACTGCCGCCAACTGCGTCGTCGCTATTGGCATGTCCGTGGTGAAGAACCCGATCACATGGACGAAGAAAACTATGGACGAGGTTCTCGTGATCGGAGCTAACGTGCATCGGCTTACCGAGAAGGCTAAACCGACGATAGTGAGGATCAAGCCCAAGGACATCATCAGAGTGTTTTATGTGGGAGTTAATATCCTGACCGCGGATATAGAAGCTAAAACAGTGACGGGTATAGTGGCCATACCGCCCCCTCAGCCCGAAGACAAGAAGAAGAAGAAGAAAAGAGGTGGTGGAAGAAGGGCCAAGGGAGGCAGAAGATCGAAAAAGGCTAGAGGACCAACCAGAGTCCGACCACCACCGCCTCCACCGATTCTATTGGAGAAAGGTATCCAGAAGTTCTTCGAGAACAATCGAGCAGGAGTCGTGGTCACCGATCGCGGGGCTGTGGCCATCTGGAAGGACATGGGGATCTACTTCATGTACGATCCTAGAGCGCGTAGCGATCAGGGTTTACCTGACTTCTATGGAACCTCCTGCGTCATGTGGTTCGCGTGTATAGAGCCAATGTACCAGGTTCTGTTCGCCAATATCGATGACCAGGAAAAGTATGGACGCTACCAGATCTGCAGAGTAATTATCAAGACTGCTAATATCGAGCCTCTGCCTTGTCCAGCTGGGTTCAGACCTTACTTCGACTGTGTTTCACCGCCTATTCCGGTGACTCATGGCAACAGGAATACCACGCTGGACGTGGAGACTGTGACCGAGTATAATTTCGTGGACGAAGAGCTCAGTGTGCTCCGTGGTACTCTGCATATGAACCATCGAACCTGGAGCACCATTAGCAGAAGCTACCAGAGCACCGCCATTGCAGCTGTCGCCATTGTCGTCGGTCTGCTTCACGTCCCTTCGACCTGGACACCCGAGCTTGTCGACGCTATATTGAAATACGGCGATCTGTTGCATCTGGACAGTGTACGCGCAGCTCGGCCTGGATCCAGAAACCTATCGCCCAGCGAACTCCTTACTGTGTTCATCGTAGGCGACTTCAGAGCTACCATTCACGTCCATAACCACACCACAGCAGGTCTCCTTCACACCTTCGATTTGTCCGAGTCTTTGGCCATGTTCTTCAGGTCCAATTGCGCGGGGATACTTCACACAACGAACATGGCGGTCGCTGTGATGCAACACTACGGGAAGTTCTATCTGTTCGATCCTTGCGCGAGGGACGACCAAGGGAGACCGAACTTCGACGGAGCGGCTTGCGTGATGAAGTGCGAGAGCATCATGAAGATGGCCAAGGTGTTCGTGGCCAATAGTAACTTGAAAACCCCGAATGTTTACACATTGAACGCGGTGAACGTGTTGAGCTTGTTCTTCTTCTCGGACGCCAAGACCGGCTGTCCGCCGAAGTGTGAACAATAAACGTGAATCATGTTTCTTCGACGATATTTAAAAATGTATCGTGGTGTACTCAAGTTCCAGTGATTATAATGTGTTTCCATTGTAGCGACGTGGTGTCGGTCGAAAATAAAACGGTACGTCTTTAAAAGAATCGTTCACCGTTCATCTTACGCGTCTTTCGTTCCCTCCAACTCGGGCGGATTCTCATAGGGCCCCTGGGCCAGGTGAAATGAATCGAGACGCGGTCGACAACATTCTCAAATTGCTAATTTTATTTATAGGTTTCTTTATGACACAAATCACTTTTAGCATCTACATGAGTAGGAGATACAGGCTATACGAGAATGAATTTGATACAGATCACTTATTTAGCGTAAATACAATGTATCTTCAATTACACGCTATAAACTAGATACTTAGAAAACACTGTACAACGCAGCTGAAAACTGTCGGTGATACTTTACAATATTTTACAAGCACTCCCTTTGATGCGAGACGCGCCTGGTCCCGCGGCTGGCGTCGAAAACGTGTACCCCACACCGAATATGGGAACGGTCCCGTTTTCGGGATCAGCCGCGGAGAGGCTTTTGTTTTTTCCCCTCGAGCGATTCGATGACGTCTAGCGCGGTCTCTAGGCCGTGTTTACCGGGCTCTCGGGAGCTGTTCCACGACGAACACCCTGTTGGTTAGCTTACACACCTCCCCAGTGTTCCGTTCCGACCCATTCAGAGAACGGATAATTATTAAATTCGCGAAATCGTGAGAACAGCTTCCTCGTCCGCTTGGTGGGGACCACACAACGGACCACACCTTCGTGACGTCGTCTTATTCCTCGCGAAAAGTGAACTAATTACCGAGTTTCGCGGGGCAGAGTCAGGGGGCGTATCTAGCTAAATTGAGAAAAAATCATCGGTGACAATGTCGAGGATCCCTTAGAATTGATTGTGCAGCAATGATGTACAGCAAGGACTCTTGTTTATCCGAACTTTGTTGAGTATCATTTGTATGGACTTGTGTTGTTTTTATAGATTGAAATATACATTTTCTTACATTCGGTCAAAAAAAGGTCCGCTTATTGTCGTTGACCTATTTTTTACGTCCCTGTTACTGACCTTTCGAAACTAGATGATCGAAAAGCAATGTCTTTTTCCGGTTCAATTACTTAGCGAATCTTTCTATAGAAGTTTGCGTTACGAGATCGATGATTTTTAAAATACTGATCTTTCAATCGAAGTCAGTGTAGTCTTGAATTAACAATATGAAATTTTTATATACGAGGTTACATTTGGCATTGAATTATAGTTGAATGTAATAACAAACCAGTAACAGGTAAAATATATTGTACTTGTCACGTAACTTTAACATTTCGATCATTATATTATGTGTTACTTTAAATAACGCAAGGAGAAACTTGGTCAGTAACAGAAACGTGATCACTATCAGTGGTAGTCACCCTACACGCGACAAAAGCGAACGAATGTCACCCACGCGTTAGATAAAAGAAAAAAAATATCGACACACTAAATGCTTCTCACGGTAAACATATTAAACGTAACATAAAAAGTATATAACGATAGAAAAAACCGCAAGTTTGCCCACAGTCGAAGGTAATATCACTTCTTCGGACATAATCCAGGGATCCCATAAAATTCTCTAAACGAGTGTACCATATGCGTGTCGATACTTTTTTCTTCTTAATCTCTGTAATATAATGTCGTATAAAGAAGGAAGAATAATTAACGAGCTGTTTTTCCATGCCTGCTCGAATAAACCGAGTCCCTTCGCTGCGCACTTAAAATTCCAACGAAACACGCTCGTAGAGATTATCCGTAGAAACGCGCAGAAGCCCGTTTCGAGCCGACTTCCGGTCGTTTCCATCGCCACACTTCATTGCTATGGTACGCTCGACGCCGAACGTCCAGCGAAGAAATGCGTTTAAATGCATCCGGCGTGCACCACCGATGATGCACCACCCCCTTTGCGATCTCTGCCCCCGCGACCCGGCCTCCCCGGTACACAACAACAGTCGTCGTCCCATCCACGCACCCGGTCGCCACACGAACGCACGCATGCACACACACACACATACACACATGGAATACACTCGGAATAATACATCGCACGGCTTTAAGAGTCTTTTTCTTTGTGGCTTAACGTCTGTCAGTGCTATCCGATAGTCCTCTATTTTTCTCGCGCGCTCTTGTTCCCGTGAACCCCGCTGGTCGTCTTTGCCCGTACTTGCTCGTTTTACTGCCTTGGGGCTTCTCGATCGATTCCTCACCATTTATCGTGTCATTGTTCCTACAGTTCGTTTAATTTTCCGACCAGACTCGCGGCTACCGATTCCTGATAATCATTTTTGCGGTGGGCTTGAAAAGAATATCGGAAGTGAACTCGAGAGAATTGTGTTTCGGGGGACAATCGTGATCCAGGCTGCTTGGTTTTAGGGGTGGTCCTTAGGTGTCGATTACGTTGGGATTCGAGATGATTTTTAGGCTTTGGAATGAATAATGGTTTGATTTTGAATGATAGGATGATATTTGATGAAATGTGCAAATTCATGTGTGTTTGTGAGATGATTTATGATCTTTGAAACGATCATTGGGTTGGTTAAGAAAATGGTTTGATTTTAGGTATAGGATAATAATTGATAAAATATTCAAGCTCAAGAGTATACGGTCTATTCCTGTTTGGATCAGTAATGAGTAGGTCTAACTAGATCTGAAGTGATTTCCAAAAGTTCGGGTAAACACAAGGTGTAACAAAGTTCGGTCTCGGCCAGGTCCAATTAGGCCAGTCAGGTGTTGGAACGTTTATCATGGATTTGTTTGGATCTAATTGCACATGTAACGACTTCTAACATTCTAAATTAATACTGAATTTCATTCGAACATATTAGGGTTAGGCCCAACTTAAGTCTACGTTAGATCTGTTTCAGGTCGAGATACTTTCATATAATACTTTGCCCATCGAGTTTGCACCTTCCGGTTCTAAATCCTCGTATCGTCGAGCCAGTGCATATCTGTTAGAATATTACAGGAACAATTCATGATCCGAACATTCTCTGATTGTCAGGAATCTCAGAAAGTCAGGTCCTCGATCGAGAAGCAACTAATCAAAAAAAAAAAAAGAAAAAAAAACTAAAGGAGAGAAGAAGCAAAAACGCGGTCAAAATAAAATCGAGCGACGAGGCGCGTTCGCGAGCACCGCACGCCCTGACAGAACGAACTCGAAACAAATCGTTAATTGTAAAAAATATGTATTATCAATAATATTGGCATGATGTCGTTATGGCACGTTCAGTTTACTGTTTCATTGACGCGTTTACAGGTTTATCTTACGTTCTCGCTATACAAACATCGTGGGATTAGTTCAGTCGAGTGGGGGGGATAGAGGGGGATTGAAGATCGCGAATAAACATAGAAAACAGAAAGAAAATATTGAAAAACAGGGGATAACGCTTCGCTAAAAATTGTTTCTTCTTGTCTTTGCTCTCTGTCACACGCACACACATACACACGCTCGCTTTCATCCTCTTGCTTTCCATCTCGCGCGGCATTAACACTCTCATTTTTTTCGTCCACGTTCGGTAATTCTCTTTCCCATCGTCGTCGTCGTCGTCGTCGTCGTCGTCATTATCATTATCATCAAACTCCTCCATTGCACTTTCCCATTCGACGCAACAAATGCACCTTAGAACGTATTTACTTTATGTACAAAAAAGCTGCTCCCTAATGCAAAACGCATGAAAACAAATTTTCTTTTCCCGTCTAGGTTTCTCTATTGCCTGAGTCCCTTTTTGTCTTTTTGTTCATTTTCTCACGTTTGTTCCTGTCGGTTGATTGATCAACGAGATGTTGACAGGTGCGGAGAGGGAGCTGTTGGCGGGATTTGGATTGCACGCAGGATTTCATGCAACAGACAGAATATTTAACTAATATACGACGAACACGCTGCGCATGATATTTCTCGTTTAACAATTGGAGTTGCGCGCCGCGACGGGTAACAGGCCGCCCGTGAAATAACTTAGCGATCGACGATCACGGTTCGATCGTGTATTAACGATTAACATGATCGAGTTCTACGTGGAAAATTAAAGACGTTCTAAAAAGTTGGTCAATACGCTCGAGGCTGAAGAATTAAAATTAAAACGAAGCTCGAAACATTTCGAATACATTTCAACGACGTAAAGAAACAAAAAGAACAAAGGTTTCGAGATTAAAAAAGTCTAAACAATGTTACACGGTGATCAGCCCTGTTGCTGTGCGCTATAAAAGCAATCGTTTGTCTTTTACCGATTAGAATGTAAAAGATAAAAATAAGATTTAAAAAAAAAAGTCATCGCTGGGACATACAGTCTTCGATTCGTTCGCACGTTTATTCCATAGTAACAAGGTTTCAAAATAGAGAAAATCAAATGCACAATAAAAAGAAAGAAAATGAATCAGCGCACGATTCCGACGAACTTTACCGTTTTCATCTGCCCGCTGTAATAACAACAAATAGTATTGCCGCTTCCGTAAAATTTGTAAAAAAAAATACTGTCGAGACGAGCGACGAGTAATAAAAAAGAATTAACCATAAAACAAAATTATAATCGGATAAAGAGAGAGGTGAGGAAACGAAGCAAGCGTCACCAGACGGAACTCGGATATTCCTCCACTTCCGGTCGAAGAACTGGAAATTATATCGCAGAATTGAAATCTGAGAGTTCCAACACGCCTAGATAATCCTTGATACGTTTCCAACTTTTACAATTTTCAAAAATCGCTTGAGATCGCTGATTAGACTGCGAATGTTTATGCAAAAACATGATAGAATAAAGAAACCATTAAAATCTCGTGGTCAACATGCCTCCTGTTTTGTACGCTACAAATTAAAATCTCGTATTCATAATGCTGCTGTATTATACGCCACACAAAATAAAATCTTTAAGGGAAACTAAATGTCAGTTTAATTCTCATAGAATATAAAGTACTCTTTAAAAGCGTGATTTATTATTGCATGAACATCCGTAGTCTATTAAATGATTCCACCTCGCTACTCGCTACACGCTTCGCACGCGCATCTTTTTATAGCAAACGTGTCTCTTCGCTGATGGTTCCAGAAATGGGCAGAATTTTCTTTGAATAAATTTCATCGAATCTTCCTTATAACAATTATATATAAACAAACAGTTTATTCGAGTTGAATTATCCCGTCGAACAATTCCCAAACAAACTTCGCACACATTCAAAACGAAATATAGTTACTTTATCAATCACAATTCTTTCGATTCGAACGAATAACGCATAAAAAGGTGTTTTATCGTTTACTCAAAGCTCTTCTACCCATTTCCGTGAATAACGAAATTTTCTCGGTTCTATTTAACGAAGGAAAATTTAAAAAGGACAAAGTTTAAATAAAACCCATCATGCTCTTCGGTCCCCCGGGAACAAAATAGCAGCGGGAAGATCGGGGGGAAAAGAAAAACCGTTGTCGTCGCTCGCGTTCGCCGACGCTCGATAAATAATGCAAACGTGTCTCTCCTTTTCTCGATCGTGAACGATCACGGCGAAGACGAGGATCGATCGAACGCGACCTCCCCGGACACACGATTTCTAAAATGGAAGCTCTCGACCGCGCGTGTTTGACACTCAGAAACGGTCTATTTCGCCGTGGTTTATTGTCTTCGATCGCTCGAAAGCGCGAGCGGTGCGCGTTCGTTTCGATTCATTGCCTGATCGTCTTCTCGGTCATCGATTTGATTTCGAAACTCGCCGATAATAAAATTATAACAGAAAAGAAAAATGAAAATTGTCGAAATGTACCTTTCAGATGGCTGACAATGAAAAATGATCGTTCACGACAGAAGTGGCTTCGATCTCGAGTTTGGACAGATTATTCCTGAGATTTCACGTAAATAGCTCGTTTATTATATTATGCAATGGAGATCCACGGATCGGGACGCTTAATGGATCGCACGAATAAATCCTATGATTGCGTTTTCATGTATTTATCCGACGATCGCGTTACGGTAGCCGAAGGTCGAATAATTAAAATTGGTCGTTCAAGATCAACCGACTTCTGTGTCGTTCCACCGTGATTTTTTATTCGTAAGTGACGTGTGGTTGGAAACGAGCTTGATCCACCAATTAATTTTGTTCTCGGCTGTGATCATCGAACACAGGAAAGGGAAGGAATCGTACCAAGAACGTACGAGGATTAGGGGAGTGTAACGGCGAAGGTGAGACAGTAGTCGGGAATTTTCTTCGACGAGGGGCGACCTAAAACTTACGACTTTCTTTTTAAAAAAAAATGGATATCTTACACGCTAATTAATCGCACAGTGTATAGACTTTTAAAAAAATAACAAATTACATACAGAAGATAGGTATCTTGACGCCGTGAGGTCGAATAAATGAATGACAATAAAAAGTCTCGGTCTACGACTCATCATCAACTTCGATCCTCCTTCTCTCTCTCTTTTTCATTCTCGCTCGTTCACCTTCTTTCGTACACCTTCTTTCACCCTTTTTCTTGCATACACAGTCATACATTCGTTCTCTCTTTCGCATGTTTTCTGCTCGTGTTACCGTTAGCTTATACGTCTGCGGTATAATTACTTTATAGAATATAGTACCTGGCACAGGAACATGACCTCTCAGTCATTGGCATCACAACGTAACAAGGACTACAAGCTGTGTCACGCGCACCATATCTCGTCGCATCCTAACGTTTTCTCTCCCATTAGAGCTTTCTCTCACCAACCGTTTCACGCAGACCATATCCACACACACTGCGCTCGTGCGCATTCTCTTTCAGCCTCCCCTAACGTATACACACGCACACACACACGCACACATAAATCTTCTTCGAGCGGGTGACTACAGCCAGACACTTGGTCCTGAGTATTTCTCATCTTCATTTTGTTCGTGGTTTTTTTTTGTTTCTCTGTTCTTGTCGGTTTGTTCAATATTCGTTCGTTCGTTACACACGTGAACGTCCGTATATATCCGCCCTCAGAGCCCTGACTGCGACTGGGCCCCGTTGGGCGTTAAATCCCCGGCGAACGAGCGCGGCCGAGAGGCTGGACACGATTGATTACTCTCGCGACTTTAATCTTCGGTCGAGTATCCCGAGCCCCAAGTCTGATCTCGACTCGATCCAAGTATCATTGGAGAACCCATGACTCCGTACCGATCTATCGGTTCAGGTTCCACCTCTATATCCTTCAGAAGACCGTATTATCATCCTCCAAAAGACTCGAAGTCGTGGCTAGCTCTTGGATCGTTCTTGCCTCCCCCCAACAGACTGGTCTTCACCGAAGACTGTCTGTTGTTCTTCTCGGCCTTTTCCCGGATTCCACGACGATCCAAACGAAGAATAGCAACCAGCACGCTGTTTTCTTCGTTCCCCAAGTCTCCATCGTCGTCGTCGCCGTCGCTGTGGCGTCCACCACCACCACCACCGCACTTCCCGTCTGTACACGTACACGGACCCCGCGGATGACACGGTGTGTTGCAACAGTCTTGTCACGTGGGTCCGGCCGGGGCTACGTAACACTGATCGCCGGATTGGACGTGCCCGACGGCGCCTGCACCACTTCACTCTTTATACACTGTCCGGTCAGTTGGTTCACGCTAAGGGGATTGTTGATGTCGTGGGGATTCGTGCCGACCGGGTTACGGTGCGGCGGCGGTTGGGCCGGTTGATTGTTGTGCGTCTGCCCGGTTTGGTTGTTCGTGATGGGCGGTGGCGGCACTGGTGGCGTCAGGGGGCACGGACACGGGCTGGCCAGGCTCGAGGGCGACGGTAACACCAGCGACGGGCTGGCCAGACTAGACAACGCGGACAAACCCCCGGGACTGCTAAGGGACTCGTCGTCCTCGGGAGTACCTGCCTCCCCAACGCTGCCCAGGTTGTCCTCCGAGTGATCGTCCTCGCCTTCGCCGTCAGCTTCGCCGTCCCCGTCTCCTCCCTCCCCCATGTATCTGATACATTTCTTCTTACGTCTGCGAACAAGCGACAACGAATTAGTGTGTGGCTCCGGGGAGCAGTTTTGGTGGGTTGTTACGGGGGTTCGGATGGAACGTTGACCATCAACGTTGACGAACCGATGATCTCGTGAGAATCAAACGGTCAGTGCTCTTTATGGGAGTTTTGAGATTATGTTCCCGATAATCGAAGTTGCGAATTCTTCGATCGATAGAATGGGGGACCAACGTTCCATCCGTCGAGTAAGGTACATTCAGAATTATTACCAACTAAAAGAACATGCTTTCACTCATAGTCGTTACAGGTCTGGTCGCGCAGAACTGTTTGCCTCGAAACTTTTATTTTGGCGAGATTTCTGTTCGGATGTCTATGAAAGTATTGCAGTTGGTGATTTTTTTAACACAGGCGAGAGCTTCTGACTATTCAAGGCGGAGTCCTTCCCGTCGTAGATAGAACCACGCCTACGCGCAGCCCTTTTGAATGGAGCTGTAATTTTCGTTTTCGAAATTCTATTTGCGAGAATCAAGATAAATCACGAGGAATAATTCTATAATAATAATAATAGCTAATTGGTGTACTGCAAGTGCAATGTTGAATGTTTAACTAGAAACAAGTGTTTTTTGTAATAAAGAAAGAATCGATATTGTGACCGATTAGGTCCAAACTTTTCGAGATTTCGTTAAGAAGCGAAGACAGTATACCTAACAAGATTCAGGCTAAGGAGGCAACCTTTAAACGGCCGATTTCGTTTCCCGTCGACTCTTCTGAGTTACTTCTGCGCGACCAGCGTCGGTTTTACTTATTCGACACGGATATCACTCGCTGCAAATGCCATGCTCAAAACGTTCAGACGTAACAAGCAAATAACTGTGTATAATAAACGTATACGTGGATAACGAAAGTCTCAACAAAAACAATTGAAATATATGCCGGGGGACAAGGTGGGCTGGATGGGGGGTGGTTGTGGAAGGGGTGGGGGGTTAACGCTCTGTTTTACATCTCCGCAGGCGAGGAACTACGGTTGTCCCGCGTAGCAAAAAATGTAGGCTACTCGTCGCGTTGATAGAGGATCGATCTACCGCGAATCAATCGAAACTATCGATGTTACGTGGAACTTGGATCGTTTCATGGTCAAATTTGTCGCCAATTGTGTTCCTTCTCGTCTCGTCGGAGGGGAAAAGAAAACAAAAAAAAAAAGACCAGAACCGGGGCGAAAAATTAAAACACGAGACCAGATAGAGACACGCGAAAGACTCACGCTTCGTGGATCGTTTCCTCGCTTTTGATCGCGGTGAAGAAAAAAGAAAAAAAGAAAATAAAGGAAAGCTACTGCAAAGTTCCCGAAAAGTGAGCCCGACCGACCTCGTAGTGGTAAACTGCATCGCAGTCGAGACATTTATCGCTCTGCCATTGGCTCTCATTATTCATCTCTTAGCCAGTTGAGTTAGTCTGTCATTTTTTTTTTTTGCGTCAATGTGAGACAGTTATACGGTTTCTTGGACGGGACACCTCGACTTTTGAGTCTCGCGGGTCGATTCAAGCGTTAGATTGTACTTCCGCAGTAATCCGATCGAAGTTGATTCGCGTTGATCTCCAATCGCTGCTAGACTAGAATCTCTCGATCGTCGATGAATAACTGATTTCGTTGGAGTATCCGTATAATTTTACGATGTTTCATGGACTTCAGAGTGAATCGATAGAAACGTTTGCTACCATAGGCCATAAAAAGGCTTTCCCCACCACAATTTCATCCCTCAGAGGGCGTGGCCAACTAAGTATGGTGTAGTCTAAAAGTGGGGGTAGAGGGCCTTGAAGAGCCTACAGATTCTATGTTTACTACAGATCTGCTATTTTAGTAAGAAAATTCATAGTTCAACAATAACAATCAAGCAGTAAATTAAAGTATAACGAATCCAAAAGATCTAACTTCCAAACTTGCATGTTATTTACTTGGTCACGATGTATGTATTTAACTAGAACTATCGTTAAAATGAACTGAAGAATAAAACGGAAGGATTAATAAACGATTAACAACGGTGTCACTAATAAAAAAAGGACAATTTTGTTGACTATTCGGTAGTACACATCACGAAGAAACGGTTCAACTGAGACTATATGAAATCGTTTCCGGTAATATCGATTTTGTCCAGCGATTGGAGCAACGCGAATCAAGAGATTTCTCCAGGCCTCTACGAAGCGCAGGGAAGTCCAATTTCAATGAAAAAAAAAAAAAAAGAAACTGGAAAATGTCCGCCGACGACTGAGAGCATCATCGCGACTCGGCCTTGGCCGAGGCGCTACTTCCGGTTTCGGTTTTTCGAAGGTCTCGCGGTCGATCTGACGACTACGCGCGACTATTGTATGCAACACGTTACGACAATAATCAAAAGTCAAACCAGAGTGAAAGTCAAAAACGAACGTCAAACGTATGGAATATAGACAACAAAAAATTGTAAAGAAAAGAAAAAACATAATACCATGGTATGTCCACGTCACTAAACAAGGTATAAAACACATCCGGTTACAACACATAATATAGTCGTCGTGAACCGTGACGAGCTGCCATGCCATCAAATCAAGAGTCACAAAGTATTATATATAGATTAATCGTATCAATACTTGTCTATCGTATGCGAAAACGTTCCGAACCGAGGCAAGTAAACGCAAATTAAAAAAGGAAAAAAAAACTAAAAACAGAAAGAACAAGTAAATCTTGGTTACACGTTAAGTAGTATAAAAGACGTACGTATAAAAGAGACATGTATATATATTTATATATACATATATATCATATGTATTACAGACCAGCCATGCTAAGGGCAACACTGAGTAAAGTCCAACTAAACGAGGGTAAATCAAAGAACAATAATAAGCTGCAAAGAGCCACAACAATGAGAAACAATGCGAGCATTAGGGAGTCGCTGGGCCGCTCTCTATGCCACCCCCGGCTCGTGCCATCGTCCTGAGTTATCCTTTTGATCGGATTGATCGTCGATCTTCAAAAAATATAAAAATCAAAATCTACAACACATATATATATATATATATCACTTAGCATTCACAGGTTTCTTTTTTAACACACATATTATATGTTTCTGCGCGTGTTCTCTGTTGACGTTACTCTATTCTTCGTTTTGTTTATTTTGTATATTCAGGGCCAACGAGCAGAGTTGGTTTGACGATAGCGAGGGCCAGCGATCCCGTAGGTTTAAGTCGGGACTGACCACTGTTTAAGAAGAAGTGTTGCAGTAGAAGGGAGGCGATAGGCTTGACTAGAGATTAACATAAGTGGGTTCTTGCTGAGGCGAGGAGGCATTGGAGGCAGTGTTGGTGTTTGGGGGTGCAGTCACTGCCCCTACCGTCCCTCCACCGCCTCCAGCCCCGACCCCTGCCCCCGCGCTACTTCCCACACCGTGATGGATTATGCTCGCGTGGATGCCCATCCCCGCTCCATGCTCCACTGGGCTGCCAAAACCAACCACCAGCCATTAAAGGGGCGCTTGTCGCATCGACGTTATCACTTTAATCCCACCTTAATCCCACACCGTATCGTCGTCACCCACACGCATCGCGACCGTGTCCCCGGGACCTTGTCCTTTCAACCCCTTCATTCCACACGATCTTTTTGTCCTTAACACCAAGGTTCGACTATCGTTCCTGATATCGAGGCACCAAGTAACTGATATTTCATCGGGTTCCATCGTGTTTGCGGAAGTTTGACCGAGTTTGACTGAGTTTGACCGAGTTTGACTGAGTTTGACCGAGTTTGACTGAGTTTGACCGAGTTTGACTGAGTTTGACCGAGTTTGATTGAGTTTGACCGAGTTTGATAATTGGGTTCGATTTGGTTTGACGACTGTCTTTTCACGTTTGAATTAGGCTTCATTTACGCTGAGAGGATTCTAAGGATAGTCAACTGTATTCCTGGTGTCTTGTATCGAACGATGTCGGTCCTGGTGTGAAATGCAGTTGGTCCGCGTTTAGAGAAAGCTGAACGGCAAGTGACCGGACGCGTCAACGATCTTTCCGCTCTCTGGTATATCAGAAAATATGTCTCCCAAATGTCCGCATCTATGCGAGTCTGGACTCTGCTAACCTTTTCGCACGCCGCTGTTTCGAAGGCACTTAAAGAATTGATCTAGTTTATCCTAGATTGTACTATCATGTATTGTGATGCTGACTCTTGAACAGGGGAGACAAACTACGGGAACGAGCAAGTATTCCTGACAGTGGGAAATATGTAAAATTTGAAAGAGAAGTTATATATTATTGTACACTTGATTGAAAGAAATGATTTGTGTTGAACCGTAGAGGTTCTTACTATATCTAAAAACTAAGAGAAACCATCGAAAACCTGATATTTCTTTATTTTGTAACATTTCACACGGTTTGTCCCAAAAATCTTCGAATATACATTAAATTAGAAATGTTACAAAGAAATGTACTGTGTCTAATGAGTCTACTTACTACTTTGGCTTCGTGAGTCATCAATATGTGCAATTTAACAGTCTCAACATTTGGTACATCTCTGTTATCTACAGCTATTTTCTCTACCCCAAATCAAACAGAAAAAGGAATAAAGACAGCGCAGTATAATTTAGTAGTCTCATCGCCATCTTGAAAATGCAGTATCAAATCTATTTCCACCCATCGTACAATCATTCTGAGCCGGTGTACTTTTTCAGAAGCGAATCACTATCAATAATTTACAGCAAGTCTTCAATATTTCACAAAAAACTGCAGTCTGAATACTGTTTTGGGACAAGTCGTGTGTAATTTTTAGAACTTTCTCGAACATCTAAATGTCTCTTTTTCTCTCTGCACCGTGTCTCACCGATTAATTATCGATCTCGCCCCGTCGTGGAAAATAATTTCACCGTGGTTGGGATTCGTTCTCGCCCCTTTAATGAGGTCCATGTGATTCACAAACCCAGGAGTCGGGGCGTTTCGGGCGGACTGTGCGGCAAAACGTTCACTGAACTCAACACCGATTTTATAGAGGCACTAAAACAGAACACGGGTACGACGACGCCGTCGCGGCAAAAGAAAAAACACTACAGCGTGGTATCTAGTGAGAGATATTTACAAGCAAAGTACAGCGGATGTCAACGATTGGACTGGTCCAACCGAAACGGGGGTGGCAAAATAGGATCCACCCCCCCGTTTCTTCTTACGGTTCCCCTATTTAATCGGTTAAATTCTGCACTTTTGGAAGACACATTTTCTGACGGTGCACATCGTTCTGTCGTGAATCCTTGCAATCTTTAACATTATCGATATATCCCCGAATTCCGTGGGTTCCAGGTCGAATTTACTGTCGTCGATGGTTATCGAAATATCACGAATCATGGGCTAGTCTCGAGCAAGTTCCACGATAACATGTGGATGACGGAACGGAGTAAGAAAGACGATTACAATAAAAGAAGTGGCGATTCCACTGCGAGAGAGTGACTATATTCGTGCCCGGGTTGCAAGTATCTTACTTCGAGACGTGAGACGACCCGATTTTACCGTCGGTACACGTATTTTACATCTTGATCCGGCTGCTTGGCCTGCTCGAGCACCTTTCCGCTTATGGGGTAAACATCGACATACAAGATACAATTGTGATAATTCTATGAGATTTCATCGTCTTCGTCTATAGATCTTCGGAAAGTCATCGTTATAGTCTTCTATTGCTCTTCCAATAACTAGCTTCGAGGCGTTTATAGAATTGATATTTGATTTTCAAATTTATATGGAGACTCGAAGATGCTCGACCAGGTCAGCTGACTCGTTAAAATGGTCGACCATCATTCACCACATATAAAGTAAACTTCTTCTAGTGAAACTACATGACTGACATGTGAGACTTCTAGTCCTTCTCAACACTTCTCAAGATCGAATACGTATATACACGCGACCCGGAACAGCGTGCTCAGCTTGTCGACAAGACGGTATGTAATTTTCCTCTCAAAAAGCAACGGAGTCGTAACCATCTACACGATGCACACGTACCTGCATGGCTTGCACCATTGGCTTTGCTGGTCTAATCCGTACCTGGCGCGGCACTTCTTCATGTTGTTACCTAGAAAACGTGAAACGTGCGTCGATTAGCCGGCTGGTAAACGGTTGACTTCTCGTTGAGAATAGGGGCAGAGGCGAGTACACATTCATAAGATCGTCGAATTTCGCGGCCGTTTTGTCGGACGGATGACAGTGACTGACAATAACGTTCGACTTTCACAATAAATAATATCCAACGCTTTTAAATTGTAAAAACTTTGTGTTCGATCGATTTGATCCTTTTCTGAATGTTTCATGTTAAATAGAAGGTAATCCTCTATAATCTAACTGAATTATATAATTAGATTGGCGATTTGAATTAAGAAATAAAATTTAGAATACAAAATTCTGAATAAATCATTCTGCTTGAGCCATATGTTGGCGACGTTGTTGGAGAAAATTAACGAAGATCCTAGTGTATATTTTATTTAATGAATTCTTCACTTGATAAATAATTTAATTCCCATTTGGATAGATAAAAGGATTTATGAGAATAGATATGAAAGTTTTAAATTCAATGTTATAATGTGACTCTGAGGCTACCTAAACATGCAAGTATTATTTGCAACTAAGCAATAAATGCTCACTAATAATCATTTAATTGTTCATTACAGATACGTTATTGTATATTCGTTGAACGTAACAAGAGCATCAGTTTATAGAGGATCGAACGAACTCGCCCGTTTTGGAAGAGTGCAATGTTCATCTGATGGCCAACAGTGCCGAGATAATGGAACGAATCCAACGTTTGTCAACTAGTCATGCGTGTAACAGAACGATCGCGACCGATTGAGCTTGATCTGATTAACGTCGAGCGGTGATTTTTCCGTTTAACGGCCGTTGCTCGCTGATTACCCCACACCGTCTACCAGAAACTTTATTTCAAAACTGTCGAAGAATATCTTTCGAGAACGAATTAATAATTTCACCACGATAAGAATATAATGTCCACTAACTTTTTTTTTCGTTTCTCAAGCTCAAACGATCCCGAAATCTGACGATATATATAATATATATATATATATATATCTGAATAGCGGGACCTTCACGGAAAACATTGTTGTTACTCGAGTGACTTATCGATCGAACTATTAATATCGAATCAACGTATATCCGCTCAACAATCGAATTTCTCCGAAGGAATCGTCAAGAATCGGAAGTCTTTCGAGAAGGTTCCCACGCATCGACGAATAAAAAAAAAATAATTAAAGGAAATAGAAATACTCTGTCAAGCTGAGTAATAAAACGGCATGCAGCGTAAAAACGTTAAAACGGCGTATAAAAAACACGATCAAAGATCATAGGTATCTACTCATTAAATGTCGTGAATCTGTATTGAAACGCAAGCCTCTAGATATGAAAACTATCGAAGACGAATGTGAACGAAAGAAAAAAAAAGAAAAATAAAAGTGAAAATGTCAAAAAAAAAAAAGACAGAATGGAAGAAAAAAAGAAGAAGGCCCGAGAACGACTCGTACATGTGGGGGTGGGTAAGGGAAGAGGGCCTGGTTTGAGCATAACAGAGTGCTGGGTGATTGTAAAGAATCGAATTTAGAGAGAGAGAAAAAAAGACAAAAACAGAGTAACAAACAAAATAAGAAAAAAACGGAGGCTTGTGTATCGAATGAAAAAAAAAACGCCATCATTAAAAATCCGGAGGGGGGATCGAGTAAGATTAGAAAGTGAAAAACAATTATCAATGGGGTTGGGGGGTTGAAACAGGCAACGTTGAAACGATCAAAGGTGGTGGTGGAGGCGGGAATAGCGGGTGTGAGCGGAAAACATAATGAAACCAACCAGCGTATCGTAGAAAGACAGAAGGAGAAAAATGAAAGGGGATGAAAGTAAAAGTAAGTGACATAGAGCCGAGGTAAAACAGAGAACAGGTAGGAGCGATAGACAGATAGACATATAATAGAGTAGTAGGCTGGAGGTTGAAAAAAAGAGAACAGAACAAAGAATGTGACTGAGTGAAAATTAAAAAACGCTCAGGATTGTCTGATTGCGGAGTAAGGTCCCTGTAAAAATGCAAGATGGCCAGCGTCCCCAAAGTTGTATACGTAATTAATAATTAATAAATGCTTGTGTATCATGTGCGTGTTCGTGTAATATAATACTGAATATTTTATGCGCGCCTCGTGTGTTTTCCACGTGATGCTTCCCGTTATATACATATACTCAGTTCATATATATATAATGGAAAAATCTGTCCCGAAGAAAAACGCATCGGACACGCACGTGCGCGCGCGTACGTGCACGCCCGCGTCACATTTACAGTATTTTTCTTTT